ACCGCACCGCGCCCGACCCTTCACCGCTAGCGCTGGGAAGCCCGGGCTGCGTTAGCCCCGCTCTCCTGGCCCCGCCTCGGGAGGCATCACCAATCATCGAACACTACGTCAAGGGCGCCTGTTTAATATTCAGAACTCTCTCAGGCCCTTCCTCATTGGGCCTCTGCCAGAGGGGGAGGTGCCAGCCAATAAAGAGGAGTTCGTTGGAGGCAGTGGATTTAGTTCAGTGGTTCCGCTGCCTGCCTCGCAAGCGCAAGACTCCGAGTTCGATCCCTGGTACAAAGAGAGAGAGAGAGAGAGAGAGAGAGAGAGAGAGAGAGAGAGAGAGAGAGAGAGGCGCATGAAAGAGAACTTCCAGAGCTAGGGGATGGTGTGTCCCGGGCGGAGCGACTCTGTCGCGTCACCCGGAGGGCCTCCTGATGGTTGCCCAGACCACACCTCTGGCCAGGTGGGGCAAAGGGCTAGAACTGAGCTAGCTAGAACTAGCTTCTGCAAACTGCTACCTCTCCTAGTATGTTTGGAGCCTTTGGACGTCAGTGCGGGAGGAAAAATTCAGAAAGTTGCCCGACAGGTTCTTCTGGGCACTGGCGGGTCCTTATTCCCCGGAGCTCACCGGTGTATCTGAGAAGATGAGGGCTCCAGTCTTCATCAGTAATGGCTTTCCGACCTGAGGCTGCCTCAACTGATAAACTGAAGAACCTTTCTCCTTAGTTTGCTTTATTTAATTTTCTATAAAACTGAAGATTCATCCAGCACTCTCGTTATTACATTATTGTATTACAATCTAATTTCCAGGAACTGACATACAAGAGAGTTATTGTCACTTCCTAGCTGTGTCTTTTCCAGGTTGAAAGGATACTTGTCTAAATAGAGATTGGCAGGGGCGATTTCCCATTCCCTTTCTGTCCCTCTCAGACTGAAGCTTTCTTTCTTCCAATAAATTTTTCTTACCCCGACCTCCGTTGTTCCTAGAATTGATTATTCAATTTTAGAGAACATAAACTTGCATTTCAGATATCCAGCGGGTTTGGGAGTTACATCTCTTCCTCCTATATCATTTTGGAGATGTTCACCAAGATTACTGGATGAGTTTGGAGACCAAAACTAGAAAGGTAACTGGGCCATGAGGAGAGTCAATATTTTGGCCCTGGCCCCTCAAGGTCAACAAAGAACCAGGACACAAAGGAACCTTTCCCACAGGATCGTACATCTTTGAGGCTGCCAGACTCCAAGTGGTCATACAAATGGAACCAATGACAAATGTGCTACATTTCTTCTACCGGGATCCATCAGACCAACCTTGTAAACAGCTCATAACTGCTAAACTAAACAATATGACATCTGTGTTGGATTCTGAAGTCCCCTGGACCTTCTCCTTATCCTCTTGTGTGCTATATTCATAGCAATCCTGCTGACCTTATAATGTGGCCCATGCATTCTTGACTGTTTCTTTGGCTTTGTATCCTCCAGACTTAAAAGCTATACAGCTACCAAGATGACACTGCTTTTAGATAGACCCTCACTAGAGCAATTCTAACTGCTAATCACAACTATGGCCCTCTTCAACTGGAAGTAACCACAGCTGTCTTCATCCTTTGCCCTTTCACAGCAGTTAGGGGTACTTCTTCAGAGAGGGAAATATTGCAGATCCTTAAGTTAATTAGGTATCTTGTAGGCAGTTAGACAGGGCCGACCTTGAGGAGCCAACAGCAAGGAGCCAACATAGAGGACAATCAAGGTACATTCACTAAAGGCCAGAATTGTAAAAGGAGAGAAACTACTATACCCTTATACTTGTCCTGGGGATATATAGCAGTGATTGATATTCTAAATAGGTATCAATCACCTGGGTCAGAGGCCAAGGTTTTATTTTATTTATTTATTTATTTTTGGTTTTTTGAGACAGGGTCTCACTATGTAGTTGAGACTGCCCTGGAACTCACTATGTAACCCAGGCTGCTCTTGAGCTCACAGTGATCCTCCTGCCTCAGCCTCCCAAGTGCTGGGATTATAGGCATGTGCCACCATGCCCGGCCGAGGCCAAGGTTTTAACCCAGCCTTTCAAGGAAATATCCCTGACCCCCACCATTTCTGAAAATCCTTATGCATTTGCTATGTAACTTGGTCCCCATTTAATTAATATTACCTGGGTGACTGTACTTGTAATCTTATTGGTTGGCCATGGTTTTGCTCCACTTTATGCCCACCCTGTAATTTTCCACCAGGTCTTAGAGTTTTGTCCCACTTTGTACTCACCTTGCCACATGTCTTTGCTATTCAAAACGTCTTTGAGAAGCGGGGTGGGTGGGTGGGCAACCCACTTTCCATTCCCCCTTCTGTCT